CATTTAATACCAGATACGCAAAAGTTCACATCTATTGATTTTATTTTGATACTTTTTTAAATTCGAATAAAAAATCATACAGCTCGGATATCAAGGCGAAGCGCTGAATGTTCGACGACAGCGCTTTAAGATCATTTTAAAAAGCTTCTTTCTCTTATAGTTGACGAGCATACGAAAAAAAAACTGTTTTGTTTTTCATTTTCTAAATTTTCCCCACACGCTAGTGTAAATTACAAAAAGATATGTTCAGCGTATTGTATCCTATTAAAACAACCTAATGATTTGTTTCACCTTAATTTCGAATGCATTGATTAGCCGCTTACGAGTCATAAAAACGCAATACAGGGTAGATTTGAAAAAAAACCGGTCAAAACGAACCGCATTCGAAATTTCAAATTTGTTTTTCTCAAATTGTGTTAGAATTAGGCTTGAAATAAAATTCTAAATCTTTCCTTGAAAACAAATTTTAAATGTTCTGCCCAATTTTTTTTTGGGAGTTTTCACTTGTCTAGAACTTTTTTCGACCGTGTAAGATGTTTTTTTTAAAGTTGTCATTCATTATTTTGATACACTTTGCGCAATTTATAAAATAAGTTTTAATGAACTAAAAGGAGACAAAATGCTCCAGTTTTGGAGTAAAATATTGGTTCCAAGTTTCGCAAAAATCAATTGCAGTGTAATAATTCTAGTGAATATCTAAGAAATTTTTTTTCTTATAGTTTTTGTCTAATTTTAAACGGATTTCAAAAAAAACACGTTTGAAGTTTTCAGTGTTGTTCATTTTGTCTGGTTAAGTGAATTCAGCACTGTATATTGCGCTTTAATGATACCAAATTGGCCGCATTTAGCAAATTTCGAACCCCCATTATTTTACAAAAATTGATGAGAGGTAAATTATCTTATAAGATTTAGATCAAAAAAACAAAATCAGAACAACTAGACGACATATATCACGGTGAGGTCCTGAATATTCTGAATGCTTTGCAGCTCAATGGAGTATTGAGCGACTTTAAAAAATTTACAAAGCTTTCAAAAAAAGAAAAAAAACGAAGTTTTATTGCGTTTTTTTTTCAAAATCAATCCCAGCACGCTCTGTAAAGTGTCAAAAGTATATATCATCTGAAGCAAAATAGTTCAAATAGTTTGCTTCAGTTTATTTTGGAACGATTCCTAAGAGGGAATGAATCTCTGCTTACGCGTTATTAAAGCGAAATATATCGCACGCTAATTGTCTTATATTGGCAAAATTGGCAATCCTTTAATCCCCAAAACTTGACAAAAATGATCACAGGTGAAATATAAATTTTTTTAAATTTTAGCTCCGGAAAACAAATGACAAATTATTTTTGGATGATTAGAAAGTTGTGTCAAAAAGCTAGCTAAAAATCGAAATTTGTCTGGAAAAAAAACACAGCGAATATTCCATCATTTTTCATTTGGAGAAAAAAAGCAAATTTTCTTAAGCGACACGTCAAACAAATGTTTTCCACACGCATTCATTTGACTGATGACATATAATAGGCAGCAACAAACAAACTCGAGCCACTCAATTTTTTTCTCTGTTTTCTAATTTTTTTTTCAGTAATTGTCAAAAAAATTTGCCCAATTTTTTTGAACTAGTTTTGGCATGCATCAATTTGTTGTCAAAATTGACCACTATTTTGTGACTATTGAGTTAAAAGTATCAAAAAAATCATCAAAATGCAAAACATACTCCTAATAATCAGACCCCCTAATAATAAAAAAAACCAAAGTCAAACTCTTTTTTGCGAAGTTGAATTTTACTAAGTTGAATTTTACTATCGATATGGCGCAAACCGAAACGAAGGAGTTTTGTTTGATTTGACCTCAAAAAAGTCTTTTTCTCTGTTTTTTTGCAGTTTTTCTTAATAAGTTTTTCCTTATATTATGTTTGACACCAAATGGTTCCAAATTGCATGACATTAAGAAAATTAAAAAAACTGCAAAATCTGCGAAAAATTTTTTATTATGATTTTGAACACAAGTATAGTCAAATTTTGTCAAATATTTTGTTTAAGGAATGGTTCTTATTTTTCTCTTGAGTCTGGATTTTCAAAAGGGAGAAATTATTTGAAAAGGGATAAATTTTCACCTCAAAACAACCATAATTTTTTCAGACTAAAAAAAGTTCTATCAAAAATGGCTAGTTTAAATGACGGAAATTGTCTGGAGAAACAACCACTCCGATCGAAAATATTCCGACATTTCTTCATTTTTAGTTAGAAAAATATGAAAACGACACCCCATACAACGATGTTTTTTGCACGCATTCACTTCACTGATGATATAAAAGCGAATTCAAGACATTTCATATATTTTTCTCTGTTTCTTTATTGTTTTCCCTGTAAATGACTATCAACAAAGTTGCTCAATTGTTTTTCCAGCCAATTTTTTTTGAAAGTAGCACGTTTAATTGCTACTGCGCTGAAACCAATTTGAAGCAAAAAAAAGATGTTAACTTGATTAAACATTCTGAATGAAAACCAATCACATGCGCACGATTAGGGAAGTTCTGTTTGACTTTCCCTCTTCATTTACGTAGAGAGCAAGAAATTTCGCATGCATCACTTTGTTTACAAAATTGGACCACCGTTTTTGGGCTGTTGAGTCAAAATTATCAGAAGAAAAATAAAAAAAAGTTGGATCCGAACAATACATTTTTGGGACTACAAAAAAAAGTTCTCACCAAAATGGCTGGTTAAAAAGTCCGAATTTTTCTGGAGAAACAACCACCCCGATCGCAATTATTCCGTCATTTTTTTCATTTGTAGTAAAACAAATCCGGCAACGACACATCGTACAACAAAGTTTTTCACACGCAATTACTTGAATGATGATATAAAATTGGCAACTATAAACAAATTCAAGCCATTTCGTTCTTTTCTGTTTTCTTGTTGTTTTCTCAGTAAACGACTGACTACCAACAAAGTTACCTATTTTTTTCAACCAATTCGAAAAAAGCACGTTTACTTGCTATCAAGCCAACTTGAAGAATACAGTATCTGATGTTTAAGAAGCATATTGAATGAAAACCAACCACATGCGCACAAAAGTTTGCTCGATTTTTAGAGTAGGAGAGTTCTGTATGAGTTTCTTTCTTCACTTAAGCAGAGAGCGAGAAATTTCAGTATGCATTCATCACTTCTTTACAAATTTGGATCACCGTTTTTTGACTGTTGAGGCAAAATTAACAAAAAAACTGAACCGATGACAAGTTTTGGGTCTTTTCGTTCGAACCCCTCTAATAATGAAAGTCGAAGTCCAACTGTTTTTTGCAAAATTAATTTTAACTAAAAAATGCTGCCTATCGCTATGGCGCAAACCGACACAAAGCATTTTTGATTGTTTTGTCCTCGAAATGTCCTATTTTCATTTTTGATTTTTTTCTTCACTTTTTTTTCATAAGTTCGACTTCAAATGGTTCTGATTTACTGTTTGATTAATATTTTTGCATTTTCTGAGATGATTCAAGGCTCTGGATATCAGCCTTGTGTTTATTTGTAAAATCGATCCACTTTTTTTCATATGAATTCTCACTTTTCTTATTCATCGCTTTAGTGGTGGTATAACCAAAAAATTTCAGGTTTTTTCAACTCCTTGCAATAAACTCACATTAAGGATTGATCTTCTGATTCTTTAATATGGGATTGTGGCTTATTTTTTTCAAGGAAGGCTTTTTTGCCAGCAATCAGTGCAATTTCAATCGAATTTCTTAGCGAATTTGACACTAAGAAACTTGGAAAAGAAACTAAAAATTCTGCAAAAAAAATTTTTCTTCTTCTTATTTTAAAGGCAATTGAAGTCAAATATAATTCATTCACTTTTGTTTAAGGAATGACTCCAATTTTCCTATTGAGTCTGGAATTTCAAAAAGGGAATAATTATCCGCTTGCGCGTTACAAAAAGGGAATAATTATCCGCTTGTGCGAAATATACCGCATGCTAGTTGTCCTAAATTAACCAACAAAACCTTGCTGGACTCAACTAAATTCTTTTTTTTTTGTAAAAAAAAGGCTCAAAAAAGGTTGATCTTCTGAATACTTAATGCGTTAATGTGACTGTTTTCTCAAAAAAGCGCTTTATAGCTTTTTTGCGAATTTTTGACCAAGTTTATGATGTAGCTCAATATCAAGCGGAAGTTTTTTTTTGGAATCGACTCTTAAAAAAATAAAAAAACTGGAAATTAGAGAAATTTCAACTTTTTTTTTCATATTTTGAAGACAACTATAGTCAAATATGATTATTTTTTCTATTTGTTTAAGGGATGGTTCATTTTTTTTTCTATTGAGTCTACTGGAATAATTTTGATTTTTTTTCCACTGTGCTTGATCGTTTTGCATAGAAAATTAACAATATATAAGACTATAATAGGTTTCACCTGAACTGGCTTGGCTCAATTCCTTGTTTCCACAGCTAGCCATTTCACGAAGGCGGATCTAGGATTTTCTCGAGGCGGGATACTATCTTAAGAAATCCATTTTTATCTGACGTACCTTAAAAATGCAATTTAGCAAGCCCACCAGAGACAAAATTTTAGGACAAAATTTTTGCATATTAAGTTTGACAGGAGCCAGAAAAAAAAGACATTTTGTGCCGTTGGTCCTAAAAACAAATTTTATCCGCGGGTTTTAGTTCTGGCTAATGCTCTGGTCATAATATTATCCATGTTTGCTTAGAGAAGAAAGGAGGAATTAACAAAAATTATGAGTGTGGATTTTTTTCCTGGTAAAACATCGAAGAACTGATCAAAATGTCTGTTTTCTATTTTTTAATGACTCGGGTCGTGTGGTTGAAAAAAAATCATCTGTTCCACAAATCCCTGCATCTAACCCTGATTCAGGCATTATTCAGTATTATTATAGAACATAATATAAAAAGATACCAAAACAACATAGCATGGCATTATCATGAATAAGCTGAAATATTGATTATCAAACCATACTAAGTAAATTGTGATATTTAAAGATGAGTAACTTGTTTACTAATTTGATTCAAAAACAACCAAGTCTGATTAATTTTTCAGCAAACAACTTCGTCTCAGTAAATGGTTAAGGGTCGTTTCATTTACCAATTTTGCTTTCAATACAGGATTACTTTGTTCACGAGATGTCACAGAGCGGAAAATATGTAAGTGTGAGTTAAACTATTGCGGGGCTAAAAGTACAAGAAAAAAATCTGCATTTTATCAGCAATTACACAAATTTAAAACTTCAGAACTGCATGCAGGGGCGGATTTAGAGGGGGGGGACGTTCGGACGCCCTCTTCCCCTCAGGGATTCGACCACCTCACTAATCAAAGGGTCCCCTTTGGTATTACTTTCTGACATTCATTTCAGGCCGTCCAACCGTAAAATGTTTCTAAAGGCACCTTTGCCGTCAATATGTACTAATTTTGAATGGGAGCGCGCGCCGAAAAAACGCTGTTTTTCGGTCAAATTTTTTCGAAAAAGTGCCCAAAACGGAATTTCCCAAAAATTCGCCCAAAATGGATATGCATGCAGTCAGGGCCTAGATCCGCCCCTGACTGCATGCATATTTCACTTAACCGTTCTTTTAACGGTGTTATGAAACAGTTTTTTAAAACCAATACCAAAAGTTTACCACCTTTATCATATTATTTCACTATAATGGCAATGCAATATTATGCCTCACGAAAAGGAAGACTATGAACGTAAACTGGTAACAATTTCCTCAGCCCAGATTGAACTCTATACGACAAGGTGGTTAGGTCAGCCAATCTCCGAACTATGTCAAAAAAATTGACTGTCCATCAGAGCAATAATAACTGGATGGACTCTTTTTCAACCCCCCTCGCCTGTGAGGTTTTATAAGTAACTTTTCTGTTCACATCGTCCAATTGATAGAAAATTGGCACACGGAATAATTTGGCTATAACAAACATTATTAGTCTTCTTGCTTAACCTTGTAAAACCCCTCGTTACATCATAAAAATGATGTAATGATGTTTATGTGAGGTAGGGGGGTTACGAAATTTTCTTTAAAATAACATTTGATGTTCAACTGCAATAAAGTATGTCAGCGTGAACAAATGAACAAACTTAATAACTTTTCTGTGATGCAAATTGCCCCATGAACAATTATTAAACAACTTTAAGTTGTAATTTTGCTAGGGGGTGGGAAAATAAAAAGAGTCAAATTGGTAAATATGAAGTGGAACCTGATCTAAACTACATTTTATGATTGGATAAATTAGATATTTTACCACTGTAAAGTATTCAATATTAACCAATCATGATCCATCTAACTAACAACCCACTTATTTGTAAGTGCTGAAATTACTTGTAATTTCACCACCAGAGAGATTTGAATTTAACTTAGAAATTAGTTGCCTCTCCAAGAGAACTTCAGCAGCCGCAATAAACCAGTATACCCTAGATCTATTGAGCCTAGCAGAGACTAGTTAAGCAACCTGAGACTAGAATAGTATAAGAGTAAGATTAGGATCGGTATTAGACTAAGAAGTTGCACGAATCTATCCGGCCGAAAATAAGATAGCGTGACGAGCAGACGGTGTACCCTATCCGAAATTACTCTATGAGTTAAGACCATCGGTTATAACTCATCTGGTGCGACCATAAGTCTCGAACAAGACCTTAATAGCTTAGAACTAACCAAAAATAGATTAGAATTTAGACAAAACATTTTTAAAATGTTACACGACGATAATTTAATCGAAATGTCTCTACGACTCAATAGATCAGAGCCAAAATTCCGAACGATAATAGAACTACCCGGAATTGGAAGAAGACCTCGAACCAGAGACGACATACGACAAAGTAGAAACTTACCAAATAGTTATATGATAGTACGGCAAAAGCCAACACAAACTTTTATATTTAGAATCTTATTAGCAATGAATTTAGATTTTCATTTGCAAACTTAAATCTTGAAGTCAATCTTCATGATCATTTCAGGCGCTAAACAAAAATATTAATATACAATAACGATTGATAAAAAGATCTCAAATCGTTTTTCTAAAATTCTGCAGTATTCTATAAAACATGTTTGGAAAATTTTTATTGAAAATCAAAACAAAAATTAGTAGCATGACAATAAACTGTTAGTAATCATAAAATCATCAGTTGTCCCAGCTTCATCAAACATAACAGCAATCATAAGCTCACTAATATCATTAAAATACTAAATCTTTTCTTAAATAAATTTAAACCATTTTAAACTTAAATTCACTTAATTTTAAAATCAGATCATCAAGGCTTATCCTTGGATGTTAATTAATTTTCTATTTAATTAAATTTAAAACTTGATCATCAAGGCCTATCCTTGGATTAAAAAGAACAATTTTGTTCTCCCCCACCCACTTAGCTAGTGTCTAACGACCTCAAACGTCGATTCACTATCCAAACCTTTCAAAAAATCCGAGACTAATATAAATTTTTGAACAAAACTAATCATTCAAATTAGGATAAACAGTGAAGAACTTCGGTTATTCATCCTTCACTTGAACCCTCCTCTTACCAGACCCAGGATAAATCTTAGACTTAGTAAGTTTAAAATAGTATCTAACGAACTACTCGCGTTCTAATTATACCTGAACCTTGTGGATCGATTTACTATTCTCCAACCCTTGAACACAATCACTGCCCCTAATTAAGATTAAGTAAGTTAACACCTTAGCTTATACTAGCCACGAGAAAGTAAAAAATCATTCTTCGGAATCGATATACTTTTCTCTCCAACCCTGAACAAATTGTAACATTCGTCTACTGCAGTCACACATGAGGCTTAAGAAAAATAGGCCCTATAACCACTGGCTCAAGGGTCAGGGACACTATCTCTTGTGTTTTTCTACCTCAAGAACGGTCGGAGCCAGTTCGGTTCGCTTGTGACATGAGACTACGACCCGTTACAGCTTAAAGGCTACTACTAAAATATCCCCCCACTCTAGAATTAGAAACGTCCCCATACTTAGGTCTCTAGATACCCAAAATACATGAACGCCGTTAAAAACCGGGTTGGAACAATCCGTTAAGTTGCTTTTTTATTAGACAGTGGAACTTTGATCCATTTCAGATGGATCAACCTAAAACTCGCCTTACCTCAACATAACAATCATAAAACACACTCTAGAATTTAAATTTGTACTCACATAGTAGCACGCTCAAGAAGTGGGAAATAATCCAGTCGGTAGTTAACTCAAGAATTAAATAACGTAACTAAATGAGTCTAATGTTTTATAGTTTTAACAATGAGAACGAGTTTACACTCTAGACAATAGTTTTCTTGTGAACCATTAGGACACTCAAGCTGTCCACCTTTCCACCGAAGGTTCACTCTAGTCCAGTTCCGAATAATACTCCAGTCGTTATAATCCAATTCGAGGGAATGCCCTCGTCTCTGTCACAGATGGGACAGCTCTACTCTCGATTATTATAGTGATGGAAATTGCGAATAGCAATTTCCTACTGCTTTTTCTTGCGACTTTCCCGCGTATGCGTCTCAATCGTTCTGAAATTGTTCTGATCTCTTTTTCTGATTTTCAGTTCTCGCGAGAAAATCGTGCATGACAGGTTCCATTCGAAATTTTGAAAAATTAAATTTCACTCCAAAATCAAGTGTTTTTTGCTTCTCTCAAGGTCAAACTTCCAAATATGACCGACTGGCACATACTCCCCGGACTCGAGATCGATGTCCTCATCGCGCGCTGTCTTCTGCCAGTGAGTCCCAGAAAAACCGAGCGTTGCTCAAGATACAGTGCCAGTGGTCATTTACAGAAGTTTGCAGCAGATTTAAGCTTATCTACACCCCAAAATTCACAGCCATTTAAAATTTTCACACTATTGCTAAACAGCAATCAAAATCTGCATACACCTGCACCCTTGAATTTTCGCTTTTCAAGCCAATCATTTTAAAATCTCTTTTGTCCTATTCAATCAGGAAATTGTCATGCAGCATTTCGATTTATATAATAAATATAGTATATTAGTAACAATATTTATTTGTTAAAATTTCTTTTTCGTGAATCCAAGTTTCACTCGGATCCACGCTCAAGCCCCCCTTCCCTCTCAAGACTCAAGATCCATCCGATTTGCCCATTCATCTCGTACTGTTCGCCTTGGAGGTACTGCATCCTGAAGTGCTAGATGCGGCAAACTGTCTCAACAGTTCCTCTTCATCATCGGAACTAATCACAATCTCCTCCCAAGCCTTCAGCTGTTCATAGGATCGCATCCATTCTCTCTGCTCCTGCAATCTCTTTGCTTGGTTGGGTAGTGCCTTCACCCTAGCTTCTCGGTTCAAGCAAAAGGAGTTGTGCAGGCTCAAGCTCACGTTCTTCGCCAGGTCTTCCTCTAGTATCGACTCCCTCGCTTTGGTATTGTCTCTAGACATCTTACCCACTCTTTTCCATCCTGTCGTGATCGCATTACGATGGGTTAGCAGGGGTCTCTTGAAAGCTTCCGGCCTAATCTCGGCCTGGAACTGTCGATACTCTTTTTGATGTTTTCTCATGTGATCTTTCGTTGTCATGTACAACCAAGACGTCAGTGTCGCCCGAAACCATGGAAAGTACCTCAAGCGACTCCATACGTGCCTGACTTCCGTCGGTATGGCGAATACTTTGCACGCAGTCTCAAACAACTCGAGTCTCCTGCTGTAGTCTATCGCGTATATTGACTCAGCCGTTGGCCTCGTCGCCTCCCGATACTTCGTTATATTCTCTTCTATCCATCTCAGAGCTAACATCGTACTCACTACTAAGAGCGTCACCTTCTGCCGGTGATCCGGTAGTCCGATCGACCGAATCTCTTCCACATCCCACACCAGGCAAAGGTTCTTGTGATCTGGATACCACACCGTTTGTGCCAAACAGTGGCATGGGCATTCCCCATGAGAGATCTCAATGCTCCTGAGATTACGCTCCCCTGAGGCTTCCAAGAGAGGCTCAAGCTCCATCATTTTCTCGTGCATCGTGTCGTTGTCTTCCAGGTTCGGAGTACTTCCCACAGGTTTCCCGATCACGTTTTGTCTCTCGTGATCGCTCGTGTTTTCTCTTTCCAACTTCAGAAGATCTTCTCCCCAGATTTCGCTTAAGTCATCTCTCAATTCTTTTGGTACTGTCCCTTTGATTTTTCTCAACAACTTGTGCG